ATATAATATATTTATAACAACCCTAAAGATTGATTTTTGTTTTTTAATTTTTTTTTCAAAATTAAATAAAGAGTGAATTGCTCCACTAATTGTGCTATCTTCTTTATTTGTATTTTATTACAATCCCCCGTAACTCTTTACTCCTGTAAATAAATATCGTCTGTTACTGTTTCACACTTATGCACCTTATTTTCTCTCTCCTCTTCACTGTCCATGAAAGTGCTGCTCTTTACTCTTCAGAAGAGGTCAAACCACCCCCCACCCCACCCCACCTTACCAAAAAACCCTCAAAAGATATATTCATATTTTTGCACAAAATAAAACAGTGCATTATAACATGGCCCTTTGACTCCATGAATTGCTAGTTCACACTCTAGATAATTTCCATATTATTGAGCAAAAAAAAAAAAAGGTTTTACTTTCTTTATTTAAAATTCTACTATTATTTTGTTTGCATCTGGGGTAGTCTATTCAGCTAAAGCATCTAACCTGCCTGTTCTTAGCTAGATTTAGGCTGTTAATGTACCAAAAAAAAAATCATTTTCTTGTCTTCTTTGTATCTGAAAAATAAGTTCTTTGTACCCCTCAAGAAAATTTCTGCTAATTTGATTTCTATTTGTTCATTACTGATCTGGGGTTCTCTTTTTTCTCAATCTTGGAGCTGTTTTGATTAAAAAAGGTGACATCTTTACCCTTCTGCTGCTGTTTCTGTAGCTTATTGGGAGAAATAGGTGATATTTAGTTCTGTGTTACTGTTACTTTTCAAGAACTGTTGGTTTTTAGGTCAAAGTTTGTGTCTTTTTTGTGGGATTTGAATGATGAAGGAAACTTGGGATTTTGGATTGTTAGTGAAGAGTTTGTTTTTATTAGTGTTGGGAGTTTTGTGTGTTTCTGGTTTTGATCCTGCTGATAATTTCTTAATAGATTGTGGATCAAATAAGGATACTAATGTTGGTAATAGGGTTTTTATGGCTGATAAATCAGCTGCTAAGTTTCTTTCAACTTCACAAAATATATTGGCTGATACCCCTTCAAATTCTATTACAAAAGCTGATGATTCACCTCTTTATCAAACTGCTAGAATTTTTACTCAACAATCTAGCTATAAATTCCCAATCAGCCAAGCGGGAAGGCATTGGATCCGCCTTTATTTTTATCCGTTTGTTTACCAAGAATATGATATGAGCAAAGCAACTTTCTCTGTTTCCACTCAACAGAATGTTCTTCTTGGTAATTTCACTCCCAAAAATGTTACTGTCAAAGAATTTTCTGTTAACGTGACCTCGAGGGACCTTGTGATCATGATCTCTCCTTTGAGCTATTCGTTTGCATATATAAATGCTCTGGAAGTTGTCTCTGTACCTGATATCCTTATTACTGATGATGCTTCCACCATTAGTCCAGCGGGGACGTTCAGTGGTATGTATGCGCAGGCTCTTGAAACAGTTGCAAGGGTAAACATGGGCGGATCGCTGGTGTCATTTGATAATGATACACTTTGGAGAACTTGGGTTACTGATCAAAGTTTCTTGACAGAGGCGAGTTCTGCTAAGTCGGTAAATAAGATTGCTTCTGTGAAATATCCACAGGATGGAGTAACACCAGATATTGCACCACAGACAGTTTATGGTACTTGTAGTAAGATGAATGTGGCTGATACTGGTAATGATCCAAATGCTAATTTTAATGTGACCTGGACGTTCGATGTGGAACCTGGCTTCCAATATTTCATTCGATTACACTTCTGTGACATAGTGAGTACAGCTGCCAATCAGCTGCTATTTAACATTTATGTCAACTCCTGGAACGTGGCTAATGATTTTGATCCTGGTCAGAAAGTTCAGGGCTTTTTAGCCACAGCTTCTTTCAACGATTATGTTACTCCACCTGCTAGAAGTAACAGGCTTAACATTAGTGTTGGCCCGTCCCCTAGGAGTCTTTTTCCTGATGCCTTTCTAAATGGACTGGAACTTCTGAAGTTGAATAATTCTCAGGGCAGCCTTACTCAGGTAGCTTCTGTTCCTACTAGCCCTAGTTCAAGGGCAAAGAAGAATGTCGGAGTGATCGTGGGTGTGAGTGTCGGCGTACCACTTATTTTGCTGATGGTTGGCATCTTATTTTGCATGCATAGAAGGAAAAAGCAAGAACAGCTTGCCCAGTCAAAAATATGGATTCCGTTATCTGTTAATGGTGGCAATTCACACACCATGGGAAGCAAGTATTCAAACGGAACAACCATAAGTGCTGCTTCAAACTTGAGTTATCGCGTTCCGTTTCCAGCTTTGCTGGAAGCAACTAGCAACTTCGACGAGAGTTTGGTCATTGGAATAGGTGGCTTTGGGAAGGTATACAGGGGTGTTTTGTGTGATGGCACTAAGGTGGCCGTGAAAAGGGGTAATCCCAAGTCCCAACAAGGTCTTGCAGAGTTCCGAACGGAAATTGAGATGCTTTCACAGTTCCGCCATCGGCATCTGGTTTCATTGATGGGATACTGTGATGAAAAAAATGAGATGATTCTAGTTTATGAGTACATGGAGAATGGGACCCTCAAGAGCCATTTGTATGGTTCAGATCTCCCGAGTATGAGCTGGAAGCAAAGGCTGGAGATATGCATCGGGTCAGCCAGAGGTCTGCACTACCTTCATACTGGTTACGCTAAAGCCGTTATACATCGCGATGTCAAGTCTGCAAACATATTGCTCGACGAGAGTTTTATGGCAAAAGTTGCTGATTTTGGTCTATCGAAGACAGGGCCTGAGCTTGATCAAACCCATGTTAGCACGGCCGTAAAAGGAAGCTTTGGCTACCTAGATCCTGAATATTTTAGAAGACAACAGCTCACAGAAAAATCTGATGTTTATTCTTTTGGTGTTGTTTTATTTGAAGTTCTTTGTGCTAGGCCTGTCATAGATCCATCTCTTCCGAGGGAGATGGTCAACTTAGCTGAATGGGCTATGAAGTGGCAGAAGAAAGGACAATTGGAACAAATCATAGATCCCAATCTTAAAGGCAAGATAAGACCAGATTCCCTTAGGAAGTTTGGAGAAACGGCGGAGAAATGTTTAGCTGATTTTGGTGTTGACAGACCATCAATGGGTGACGTGCTTTGGAATCTGGAGTATGCACTTCAACTTCAAGAGGCTGTCATTCAAGATGATCCTGAAGAAAACAGTACCATCCTTATCGGCGAGCTCTCTCCGCAAGTCAATGACTTCAGTCATGTTGATGCCGGTGCTTCTGCTGCTCGGATCGAATCACCAAATTTGGATGATCTCTCTGGTGTTTCCATGAGTAGGGTTTTCTCGCAATTGGTCAAGTCCGAGGGTAGATAACTAAGTGAAAACGGTACATACCTTGCTTAGGTGTTTGTTAATTCCACTTTTGTTCATGGATCATATGAAGATTGATTTTATTTTTGTAACAGTTTATTCTATGAATTTCTAAGTTTGATATAGAAAGTTAAACTTTGGAAACATCATTTCTCCGCCTGTGGATCATCTTTTCTATCTCTTGGTGTGTCCTGTTGTTTCACATGTTTTATATGGTTTCTAATAAATTCTTCATACACAGAGAATCATTCCATTAATGTCATGTTTGTGAAAAGGCTTAAAATATATGGAACAATCTCGAGCCTCTGGGAAGAATAGGAGCAGATATGCACAGGAGAGCAATAAAAGACCTGAGATTGCTCAGATCCCCCACCCCCACCCCCACCCACATTCCTCTGGATGTTTGAGGTATTGAGTGATACTGCAGATTTAGTGGCTGAGAAATAAAGTAAAACAGTACCATTAAAGCTAGGAGGGTCTCCCGGAAATACCCTGTCTATCCCTCCGGGGTAGAGGTAAGATCTGTGTACACTCTACCCTCCCTAGACCCAACTAGTGGGATTCTACTGAGTTGTTGTTGTAAAGCTTGTTATTTGTTCCCTATTTTTTCATTTATTGGCAACACGGAGGGTTAGGTTCGGCAATATGGTTGATTTATATTGGTGCATCTCTTTCAATTACACAGTATTAAGATTTAAATACAATCTCCCATTCTCATGAAAAGTTCTAATAACAAGTGATAGTTTGGGACTGTAAAGTTGCTATCTTGTTTGGTCAGTCTCTTCAGGAAATCCAACTCGTTTGGTCAGTGTTGTCATCTGTGTGTCGACACTTCTTGAAGAATGAAGTAAGGAGATATGTGAATTCATTGGCTGAAGTCAGCTTTTGCACGATGGAGCTTTTGTCAGTTTCGTATTGAACGCCTTATGATGTTATATGAGGTAAGCATCGCCTAGTATAAATGTGATCTTTTCTTTATAGAGTACAAAAAAGAACCTTTTACCATCATATTGTCGAGAACTGTTTATTTGCATATCTCCATTCAAATTATTTTCTTAGAACAACTAACTAAAATTCATCTCAACTTCTGTCATATTTCGATTTGCAATTGCTAAGGTTTCTGAAATACATCTGGACTAGTCGTTATTGAAAGCTTCAAACGATATGTTATCAATCCTTGCATTCTTTCTTTCCCCATCAGGCCATCCTACTCTATTCTTTTCAGATACCCCCCCCCCCCCCAAACAAAAGACGAATAT